TCATCCCGAGGAGCTGGAGGAAACAGAGTTGTCAACTTAGACAGAGTAGAATCACAAATGCAAATGTTTATGCATCACTATTGCATCAGATTTATATATGGTGAAAGCAGGCCAGCATGGAGCAACTGATGTCATTACCAATTAATCAAACATTTGTTTTCTTGACTAATTGCTTAGTGTATTAAATGGGCAGAAAATACAAAAAAGTGTTCATCACTATTTCCTAAGACCCAGGGGAATGCAATCAAATTGCCTAACATTTTGTCCAAAACCTAAATATATCCTGTTCACTGTGACATAAAACAAAGCAGCAAATCCTCCCATTTTGGAAGTTGGAACAATAACATATTTAGTATTTTTGCTTGAAACGATTTTTCAATTATTTTGTTGTTAGTTATTTCATCAGCTAATCATCAATCAGCTTCACTCCACAGGATTATTGGTTGCTGTAAGAAATGACTGCAACCTAACATGACTCCACAGCAAAAGATGGGGGACAATACCCACATGCCTATTTCTGTTGCACAAGAAAAGAACAGTTCAGGGAAAACCCCTTCAGCCTGTTGCTGGTGTGTCCATGATTTCACAGATTTAGTGCAGTTTCTTTGTTTTTCACCTCTGTGACCTCCTTTCTTCTTCCACAAACTAAAGACCAAGGGCAGAGAACACCGGTGCCATTTGCAACTTTTCAGACATAATCTCGATTAGAAGCAGCTATAACCAGCAGCTGTGGTGAATGAGAACTACTTTGTTTACCCTTGTATTTCTGCAGTATCGGTCTTCTTCTGTCCCTTTCTGAATGGCGAATACAGATACCGCCACCTGATGGTAGGGGGAGTTATTTCTGTCACACAGGTGCAGAAGGTACGTGCTAGTTGGCTGTTGGCTGTAGCCTGTGTGGTGTGTTCAAATGTCACTTTTTCAACCCGACTGTGCCAGACAAAGGTGACGAGGGGCAAGGCAGCAGTCGACCTTTGTCGCTGCTAGTTCTTTCACCTTGCCTTGGTCTATCTCTGCCCTAATATACTTATATTACTCACCAACAAAGTTATAGCCTACTTTATGTATTCTTTGTGGAGGCAGCTAAAAGTAGCCCTGTGCCCGTTTGGGCAAACAAACAAAACGTTAATGGAAGTGCAGAATTTGTTCTTATGTAACATAATGTAAAACAAGGATCGATGAAGGCTCTTCATAATTTAAGTCATGGAGTTAGCGTTTGTTTATGTAACACATCAGAGTCACAAACTGGGGCTATCCTGTTCCAGCTTACATTTCATTTTGAGATCAAGCCACCTCTCCATTATTTTTCAGTGCATATAACTCACCATTGTTTTTATATTGATTCTGATATGTCACCTTTTTACATTCCTTCAACTTAGGCACTCTGCAAAACACTTTTGTTGTGCCTCCCCTTCAATTCTCCTGTTCCTCCCTGGGGTGGATTTTGGCTCCCATCTTTTATAATGGAGTTGTATCAAGGAGGAGTACATTCATGATCAGTGTGGACATTTTGGGGCGTTGAGTATGGTGTCAAGATCGTATCCTATTCTTTAGCACTTAAGTGGGGGAGAGTTGGATACTATACCTCCACGACTACCACACCAAAACAGATTCCCAAAATAACTCCACAGTTGTCCAGGAGCCATTTCTCCACACTGGTTATACAGCCCTGAAGGAGAGAACAAGACAGGAACAAAAAGAACAAAAATGTGGTTAAGAAAGAAAAGGAAAGAGGTGGGATGCAAGCTGGTGTGCAGAGGAGAGATAAATGACTACGTGATCCCATTCGGACATTAACAGGGCCTTTTCAAAACACGACTGTTAGTTTTGGACTGAGTCAGTGGGGGGGAAGAATAACACGGCTTGGTTGAGCAGAGGAAAATGACAAAGAGGAGAGAGAGTAAAAGTTACTGAAACATACAGACCAAACAACAGAACAGTAGAGCTTTTACTGGTGTTTGAACAAATCACACGTCTCAGCTGCTGGTATTCACTGTGCTGATTAAGGGAAACCATAGGGCGGAGTTACACAACATGAGTCAACCTGACATACTATATGTAATGAGTAAGTCTATCAGAACAATGCAGGTGTGCTGGAGCATTGTTCACCCAGTGGAAGGACCACCAAATAAGACTGACCATTTATGTACACCTCATTGAGGCTGGGTAGCATTTCGTAGATATCAAGGTGACAGTAGTAATTCCATTTATTGTATGTTTAGTCAGTTACTGCACTTAAGTATTTTATGTAGAACAGAACCTTCTAACTATATAAAAAGATGTTGAAACCTTTCCCCTAACGACATTGAAAAGGCTTTTTTTTATGTGCGGTGTTAATGGATCAGTATTTATATTTGTGTGATACATACAGTATATGAAAGATATTCTAACACAGAATTTGCACGGAGTATTTGCATATTAATAAAGATTTTACATATTGTCTGATAAATCAAATGAAAATTGGCCAAAAAGTGGTGTCTCTCAGCTATGTCGCAACCAGGCATCCATAGTTTAGGTCATTGCAAGGAAACCAGATGTGATGGGAGGGGCAGAGTCTCACTAAACCCTGTAGTGGCCGAAAAGAGTAGCTTTAAATACATTTTGCTGTTAATACATTTGTTACTTGAGTAGGATTTTGAATTCTGGACTTTTACTTGCAATAGAATATTTTAATTGTTGCACTGCAACTTTACTTAAGCACTTATCTCAGTACTTCTCCCACAACTTCAAGATGACCATGAAAGTACAGTATGATACACAGACTTTCAAAAGTTCCTGTGACTGACAATATAAGAGCGCTCACTTATTGCCCTATGTACCAAACCCTACTGTACCAACCAAACCATGCAAATTAAATGGAAATCCAACAAAAAGATAACATGTTAAAATGCATACAATGTTTGCTTGTAGTATCACAAACCAAAGACAGCTGAACTAATAGAAATTTAACATGTCTGTGTATGGAAAAATAAAATACTGGCAACTGAGTAAAAGGGATTGAAGGGACTGAGGAAGGGTCCTTTCTCATGAACAGAAGATGGTTCTATGCAGTGAGGCAAGTTTCACACGATGATGAACACAAAAATTATGAATCAAGCTGCTGGCTTCATCAATAAATTTACAATTATGATTTTCAAATACAGTGTGGAAACAGAATTAAAGACTTCAGATGTGTTATTTACCGTTTCAAAGACGGGTAAGTCTGTGGACAAGGCTTCGCACAGGCCTCCTGGCTTGATTTCGGTGCCAGGCAGGGACACATTGCGACAGGAACATGGGTAGAATTTCTGGGAGCTGTTCTTGATCAAAAGATTCTCAGACCAGTTTCCTGGACCAGTCCAGCCACAGCACTTCATCTGGTAATATGAAAGGAAAGGGAGGATGTAGGAGATAAAGAGAAAAAGCACAGAATGGTGTGAAAATGGCAAAAAAAGGATGCACAAAAGAGAGCAGTGGCAGAAATAAATGGTAAAATGAATGAGATGAAGGCAAAACTGGAAAATAAATTTTTTACATTAATTAGCATTTCTGTTGTGGTGCTTGAGGCCAGTCTCTTCTTGGCTGCTGATTTCAGAAAGATGCACAAACTTGACCAGAGCATGGAACCGTCTGGCCTCAGACCTGTTCTTACTTGCTGTTTAGTTTAATGGGCAGTTCACCCAAAGTACAAAAAACACATTTTCCCACTTACCCTTAGCAGAGTTTGGCCAAGCAAATAGTTTCACTTTTGGGTACTGAGATTAGATGTATGAATGTGTGGAAAGATCTGCTGCCACACCAAAAAAATGAAAGTGAATGAAATTTTGCTTGTGATCCTCAAAGCCTTAAAACCTTAAACCTGAAAACTTCAACTTTCTTGAAACAATGTCTTGGTTATTTAGGATAACCCACAGACCTCACTGTCAAAAGTTTTCATAGGGACTATTTTTTCAAGAGAAACGTGTTCAACTGGAGACATTCATTCTAATACATGCACTCATGTTACTGTAAGAGGTGCTTTAGATAACAAATCTGCCGCTGCAACTTCCTGTTGTTCATATATTTCTGCAACACATGTTCTTATGACAATAATACATGGGCTGTTTTTCATACTTAAAGGGGAGTTAATGTTAACAGCAATGCAAACTGTTATAATGTTATAATGGTACATTACATTCGCCTTTTGTGTGTGTGTGTGTGTGTGTGTGTGTGTGAACTCACTGTACTCTGAATGTAGTCCCAGGCCTGCTCTGTGGTCCTGTTCTGGCCGGTGTAGTTGATTATCATGTCCTTTATGATGATGGACATTTCATATTTCAACTAGAAAGGAGATGAGAATACACCATTAACAATGCAAACAACTTTTTAATTGAGGCAAATACTATAGATAGCTGTACATAAATTGTGTGTGTTGGGAAGTTTGTATATACAGTACTATAAAACATAAGAGTGAACATATTGACCACATAGAACTCAATATGTGGTCCAGGGTAGAGAGTGCTAAAGAAACAAAACAAAACAAACACACCTACGTTAAATTATTAAATTTGCTAGAAATATCTGTACTTAGGCAGCACTTCAGGTGGTACTGCCCTGTGAAGTCCCATGCTGGGCTTGAAAAATTGCACAAACACAGCTTAGCAGGAGCAAGACTCTGTATTTATGTGTGTAAGACCACAGAATGGTGTCAGCAGTATAGATTCAGAGCTCTACTGGAGATGAATGAGAGCCTCACCCTATTCCGGGAAAGGGCACCACCCTGCCCTGTAGCGGGCCTTAAACATGGGGAGTGTGTCTAAGCTTCCAGGCACACACACATATGTTCCCAAAGATACACACAAAGCACACATACATGCTGGAGGGCAAACAGCTGAAGAGGCAACAACAGTCACCACATATCCTGTGTCATACAGGGGTGAGTTTTATCAAGGGAAAGTGTTCCCTTATGTTCTGGGAATCTATGATCAAAGTATGAAACTGGTCAGGGAGTTTGGTGTGGTCAAACACATCACTTATTTAACTCTTATTAAAGGCTGGATCTAGGACTGAATGTAAAACTCACAAACAACATTTAGGGGTACTTTGTAATACTGGATACAATGTTTTTGGCTTCCACCTGCATCAGACAAGAAGACTTTATGTAGTTTTATATGTACTGTCTATAGTTTCCTCCCCGGGCTACTTTTTTAAAACTGAAAGAAGAACAATCAACACTGGCGAGATGGTGATTTCGTCTGTAGGGGGCACTGTGCTATTAGAGACGTAAACAAAGTGGTTTCTGTTCCTGAGGGGATAATTACTGTTTTAGATGAGTCAGTGTTGGAAACACCAATTTAATATGTCAGCATATGAAAGTAGCTTTAGAAACACTCATTTACAGTGAATTTGTTTCCCCTCCCTCCAACCCTAAACACAAAAATACCCAAAGGTAGAACTGAGACAATAATGGAAAAACCATATGAGCTTACTTCCTCTATAGCTGTCACACATCTCGTTCAGTCCACCTGCTTCATCTCACTTTCTACCCCCATCCAACAGCACATCAGTCGCAAACTGACATCCTGTCACGTTCCATTTGCTGAGCTACAAAACTGTTTCATCACAGGATGCAGGAGGCTCCCTAACAGGTTTAGCTAAGACCTAAATGCAACCTGACACAGCTGTGAAGATCAGACCTGTGAAATACCCATTAGACACCAGCTGTTCCAGTGGGAGAAAGTGTGGTGGGAGCAAGAGAAAGGTGAAAGATGTGCCAAATTAGAGGAGAGAATAAAAAGGGGAGACAAGCTATAGAGACAGCAAGACAAATTAAAAGAAAAGAGGTGAGACTGAAAAGGGAAGGGAGGAATGTTGATGTTGGAGCTAGTATCTTACCCGATCTCTCTGGAAGTAAATAAGAACTCCAGCAGTGACCTGGGCGATGAGGATGAGCAGGAGACAGGTGAAGTACTGCAGGGGATACAGGGAAATGTCACTATTTAGAGACAAAAGTTCTAAACACTGCCAGTACTGCAGGAAATGTATCTTATAGCAGCTATGATCCATGTTTTTACAATAGCAAAGTGAAAACAATGTGACAATGGGAAAGGGGTAGTCCATCTGCAGCTGCCTTTGGCTTTACCGAGCTTTATAGCAACTTTCAGTTCATCATTTAACTGTTCGGCCTAAAGCTTCACTGTTGAACACTGTAGAGATCATGCACGCATCCACATAGTAGTTGTACCCCTTACATCTCATTGGCTTCATCCGCGACACCCCCTTCGCTCAGTAAATCCACACATGCTACAAACCAAAGGCCCACACATACGCTGAATCATTCACCTGCTTTTAGCCAAGCTCGAGATTTCAAGCAGGTACATTTAGGCGAATGTTTCATGCAAACAAAACAAACAGAAGAACACAGAGCTTTGTATGTTCTAATGCTAAAGCAAATGTTTTAGACAAATGATGAAGAGTGTGTGTAACTACGCAAAAACTACTGAGAATTTATTTGAATGTATTACTTTTGAGTATGTCTTGATTATGGACTGTAGAGAGATGACAGGAAAAGCAGAGAGAAAGGAGAACTGACATGTAACAAAGGCCAGAGGGTATTGTGGTTCATGCCTAGCACTTAGAATCCTGGCCAACAGTATGGCCTACTACTGAGAAGCTTTCAATGGGGATTTAAAAACTTTTTTTTTTTGTCATAAAACAGAACATTTAGCTTCCTGCATGGTTGTGACATGTGGTCACATTTGAGATCTTGCACAAGTTTCTAGGGCGCATGTTTTAAATTCACTCATCTCACTGTGTTGAGGATGTTAACTATGTGTTTTCCTCTTAAGAGAAGGAAACCAAGATAAAGCAGGGTAGCATTACAGCTCAGAGTAAATGTGATTCCTCACCAGTCCCAGCAGACAACGGATTTCATATATGGCTCCTATACAGCCGAAGAAGCCCATGGCCATTGACAAAGAACCCACACCGATGAGGATGTAGGAAGTCACCTTCACTGTTTCTGATGATTCCTCTGGAGAAAACAAATGGAAACAGAGAGATAAAGCAAGAGTTCAACTTATAGAACCAATAAAACCTATATTGATGCTGCACATTACACAACAGCTACAATAGTTTTACAGCAAGCATTTGTAGCTTAGTCCTTCAGTTAAACTCAACTCCTTTTTTAAAAATAAAAAAATAACCACTGAATACACAATAGAGTGTATTGTGTATTCACAATACATGACTTTCCATGATAAAAGAAGTGGTGGCCTGATCTCTGCCCTTGTTTTGTCTCCTTTAACCACAGTGTGTGTACTGGCAAATAAATGCAGCTCAGAGGAAGGCCTCATTCTCATTTTGATAAAGACGGTTACTGAGCCAAAAACCTATCTGAATTCAGAGCATTCTAGTGCTTTACTCCCACAAAAGATTATATTAATAGGCCACTAGAGAGAGTTGGACCAAGACAAATCAGTGTGTGGCAAGATTAAATTATTTCCTCTTTGGTATGTAGAGCAGTGGAGCTCCAGGAGGAGGGAGCTGAGGTGGGGACAAAGGCTGAAATGGAAGATAGGGGGAGGAGATAAACTGGAACCATTGTGTGGCTGTGTGTTATCTGGGTTGAAACTGCTCCTGCTCCTAAAGATTCCCGGCCAACCAAAGGAGCCAGAGCTATCAGATAACTCACTCCCATACATTTGGTGAAGAAGCTGACAGACACAGCAGACACAACTCCATGAACCTCTCAGTAATAAAAATTAATAATAAAATGTATTTATAAAGCACCTACCAGCTCAAAGAGCACTAGGTGCTACATCAAAAAATTAAACCCAAAATCATCAACATATCAATATCAGAATAAAAATCAACTAAGTAGACATATGACAGGCATATACATTCATTGATCTATAGCATAATTCCTGTCCAGGCTGACACCCCTCAGAAGAGCTAGAATAAAGCTACAATAAAATAGAACGCCAAAAGGAGTCTAGAGAGATTAAGCACAACAAGCCAGTGGATGTAATTATTCCACATTACTAATCTTATTAATTGCTGATGCTTCATGCAACAATCATCATATACAGTATACACCCTGGCCAATGCACAACAAAAATGAATTATGCTATAGAAGTTGTCCTTCCATGTACAACTCTACTGTGTAAAACTGAATGACTGACTTATTACAGCAAGGAGGCTGTGTGACTTACATTCTAATGTTTTACCTATGTTTGCATGTAAAGGTTTTATCTAGTTGTGTGCAGTGTGTTAGGCACTTTGTGTACTGTGCAAAAGTCTGAGGCAATAATTAGTTTAGCTGTTCTACCAATGTTGTGATGATAGTTTACATTTATTTATTGTCTCTTAATGAAGATATAACCAGAAAATACAGGAAATATGTACACAATATTAAAAAACACTAAATTGTCAGAACAAATTGGCTTCTACAGTCCAAAGTCAGTATTTAGTGTGACCTCCCTTTGCACAGCTTGAATTCTTTTGGGGAAACTATCTTGAAACCATGACAGACCCTCCACTGTTTCACTGAAGGCTGCAAGCACTCATTCCTCCACCTCTCTCCAACTTTTCTTCTCACACAGTCAGCGATTGAACCCAAACATTTCAAACTTCAGTTCATCACCCCATGAGTCTCTTTTCCACTGATCTTCACTCTAATCTTTGTGAGCTTTTGCATATCTCAGCCTTTTCTCACTGCCTTCCTTCTGAAAAATGGTTCCTTCCTGGCTGCTGTTCTTCCACAAAGGCTGTTCCTGATCAAGCTTATTCAGACTATCAAAGGATCAACTTGGCATCCAGATGAGGCTGCCAGATGCTGAGCCAGGTCCTCGTTGGATTTCCTCCGGTCTCTCAAAGAAGAAACTCTGATAAACTTCTCATCAGATTTTGACAGTGTTCTTGGTCTTCCACTCCTCTTTTTGTCCTTCTCCAGATTCTCTGTATTTCTGTAGAACAGCTTGAATACAACATCTGGAGTATCTAGTTTGTTTGCAGATTTTATTTATCTGACATTTTTGTGTTATTTTTTTAACACTGTGTACATAATTGCTTTATTTTCTATTTGTGTTCTGATAATATATTCCATCATAACACTGCTAAAACAATAAATCTAATGGTAGCCCAAGAATTTTGCACAGTACTGTAAATAACATTTTCTTCAACCAGTCAGGAAAATAATCAGATAAGTTGATAAAGGCAATAATTGTTAGCTACATCCCTAACAACAATTAGCAAGAAAAAAATATTTTGTGTACATCATATTTTATACAGAAATGTTGTAGTGTACACAAAGACCTAATTACATGTATGTACTGTTTATGGCTGCCTCTACATGGTTTACCAGAGCAGCGCATGCTGTGGTGGTTTGAGAATAACTGAAAGTTAAAATAACTTGGGTGAACATATGCAGAGCATTCATGTGACTACAAGGTAGTATTTAAAGGGAGGCATACAAGCACACTATGTTCTATATCCAGCATGCTATTTTAGACACACACACACACACACACACACACACACATATATATATAAAACCAGTGTCAGCAAAAGCAATGGATGCCTATGGGTTCCATTAAAAATATGAATTACCTGGAGAACATGGGCTGATGCATGAAATGCCTTAAGCAAAAGTCTCAGTGACTGCTAACAGTCAAGAAATTTAATGAGTACTCTGATAATGTTGAATGTAGCTAAACCGAAATATGCAAGAGTGCTATGGCTTTAAGTGGTGGCATAAAAGATCATTATCTAGAGCAGAGGCAGGACAGAAGAGAGTGACGTAAAAGATTCAGTGTTGGCCTGGCTCTGTATGATACATGCTAATCATTCCTTCTAGTTACTATAATTAGGCTGCTTTGCTTTTATTAGTCTTGTGGAAAAGAAGAGCTATTTCACTGAAAGAGAGATTTACTTAGCTACAGTAGACCATGGACATATTTTCTTCCAAGATTATAAGCAACTATTCTACAATTATTAATTTTGGGAACTAAAGTTGACATAGATGTTTGTGTGTAGTTTGCATGCAGCCCAGTGCTTAGATGAACACTTGTTCCAGTACAAAACACACACACCCAGGAGTTAGAGAGAACGTCATGCAACACTAATGCAACCTCAAAACAGTTCTCCACTGTGACCACTTCTAAAGTATTCATCTAATATTCTTGGCATATTGATGCCTCCTACATTTATTGTACAGATGGCCTATTTCCTCTGACATCACATAGCAGTCGAGGGTAAAACACATTCAGCAGTACTTTCACATTTCACTTGCAGTTTCACTCCTACACTTCTTTTACACAATCTATTTAAACTCAGAAAAGTGTGTCCTCTCAGGCTGACTCCCAGGTGTATCAGAGTTGCAGAGCAACAGATACTTTACACCCTTGCAGCTGTAAAGGGAGCATCTGTGTTCCTCTGTGGTAATACTAAAACATATAATTCTCCTGAAGTCAGTGTGTGTTCATCAGGTTACTATGCTGTTCTGTCATGTGCTGTGACTTGTCTCCATGTAGGTCTCAGCTAGAAATTCTAAAACAGTCCCTCGGGTGGTTTCTGTGGAACTTCCCATTTAAAGAGGTAAAATTATGGTGCCCTTACAGAAAGCTGCTGAGGGCGGGGAGAGGACTGTTTGGTACTGCAGGTCCTTCTGTAAACATGACCAGAGACACACACTCAGCTTGTATACAGCTAGAGAAAAGACACCATTGAAATTATGTAGATTTAAAATGTAAACATAAGCAGCTGAACTACGTGCTGAATTTCTAAAGTTAAAGCACTCTAAATAAAAATAATCTACCACTCAAGTTTTCTTTTTTCTATTCATGACTTGGGAACATTTCTGAATTGATCTGAAGCATATTTCCTAACTGTACTTTGGCACACTCTCTGGCTCTCAGACCAGCTTTCCAAGGCCGACTTTTGTTTAAACATAAAACAAACTGTGTTTTGGCAAGGCATCATATCATTGGGGTAAACTATTAACAGCACTGTACCGGTAAAAAGCAGACACTGAGGGGAAGATGCTCTTTTAGCTGAAAAATAATGGAGCTGAAACTCAAACTTTCCTGGATTTTTCCTACCTGAAGTCATTGGGCCAGCTGCAGAGTTCTCTAGTAATATAACTCATGAAGAATGGAAACAGAACACACAGAGATCCTGTTTATGGTCAAGTAATGGTACAATTTCTGAGGGGAACGCACAGAGTCAACAAACAGAGCTACGTGTAGCTTTGGTTTTTGTTCCTCTATAGAGTGGTAAGAGGTTTCCAGTGAGGTTAGAAATCCAGGGACCCAGTGAGAAGATAAGATTCACTGTTCCTGGGTACAGGGAACAAAAACACACAGAGGAGAGAAGGTCATCAAGCCCTTTGCAGGAAGGGATATCGTCACAATATCAGTGAAGCAGGAGCTCTGCTATCTCTAGAGGAACAGCTGGATGCTCATAACAATAGGACTGAGGCTGGTGGGGATGACAGGTACTGTACTGCCTTTATGCTCTGAATTCCTGGCTGTAGATAAGCACACTTAGCTTAATAATAACCTTGGAGTGGTCCCTCCTTTGGTTGTGACCTCAAGAGCTGAAATAGAAAGAAAGACTCAGCCTGACTGGTTTAGAACACAAGGTCAGCTCTGGATAGTCTTCGTCATAACTCCAGTAATTTCCCAACTTATTAGTCAAAGCACCAGAGGCCTCCAGTCTAAACATAGATTTCTTCAGCCCTGCCTGGCTTTCACATATTGTGCTTTTTCCTCAAAGGACTTTTACGTTATGGACCTTAAACAGAAGATAAAAGAGTAGTGCTATATTTATCTGGCAGTTATTTTCTTGTGTAAACAGTTCATCATTTTGTCCATAAATTGTCAGAAAATAGCTAAACGTGTCAATCACAGTATCCCAGAGCTCAAGATGACGTCTTCACATTCTCAAACCATATTCAGTTTACAATGATACAAAACTGAGAGCGCAGATCATTCTCACATTTAAGAAGTCAGAACCAGAGAATGTGTGAAAAATGATAAACAATTATCAATCATCAAAATCATTTGATTAATTTTTGTCATGACATGGTTTAAACTTGAAAAAAAGCTTAGCAGTTCTGTTCTAACTGTGCTGTATAAGAGCAGTAAATCTCACAGCTCCTTCAAACTGGCTGGCACAGTAATGCCAGTGTGACGCATGTTAACCCATCTGGATGGGTTAACATGCGTCATCAGGATTAGCTCTGCACCCCAGGTCAAAATCTTTAGTAGGAAAGAGGTATCACAGTCTAATTGAAATAAATGCTATATCTGACTTCTAACATGTATAAAGTTGCCAAAAGAAAGTGGAAGAATATTTTTATAAACTGGAAGAAAACCCCATTGCTGGTCCCAGCAATGCTCCATCTGGGATGGATAGACTGAAAGCATTTATAAAAAGATTTGAGGCAACTAAAACTTTCCACTCTTGGTTCCTTGTTCTTTCCAGGCAAGGCTGGAACTGGGGCTCATTATGCTTTCTCTAGTGTCTTCACAGTAGATAAAGGAAGAGAGACACAATATTGTCTCTAACAAAGCTGAAAGTCTTGCCTCTTGCAGCATACCATTTGGAGGCTTGGTTTCTTTCTTCCTACACAGTGTCTACAAACAGATTTGTGGTGACATCTGTGAGGGTGGGAGATTGTATCTGTGTGCCTCTGCCACCTGGGAAGCTGAGAGAACAAGCAAGTTCAAAGTACATGTCTGTGGAAACTGTGGGGAAATAAAGCTGCTATTTTCCTACATAAGATGGAACAACTTAATAATCAAATCTGCCACCCAAACCCCCCTGGACTAACCTACTCCTCTGGATCTCAACAGATGTGTCAGTGGGTATCTGTAGGTCTACTGGTCAACTTTAGAAAGGCTGAGGAACTTGATCAACTTTCATCTATGAGTCACATTTTTGTTTACTCTGAACATCCCCTCGTGGTCCTTGGGAATGAATCCTATGGGATTAAATCCACAAACACTGTGCAGAGTAGGCTGGGGGGTTTAGGATCTGTACACTCTCCAGTCTGTATTTCCACTTCCACTGTGCTTACACCAGCTGGACTAACATAGATCCAAAGTGCTGACAGGAGTGTTATCACTACAGGACGTGGCGGTGGGACTGCATTTTTCTGTGAGTGTTTCAGCACTTACGTAGAACCGCAATGAAACTCTGGTTATCAAGGAGAACCCACAGTCCAAAGCCCATGATCAATGCGCCAAAGATCTGTGGAGGGGAAACAGAAAAGAATCAGCTACCAGATTTCACAGAGTAAAACACTGAATCTGTTCTGGTATGTCTTAAACAAAGGGCCTTATCTTTGCTTCCACAGCTTGTCACATCTGGGATTAATCAGATCCTAACTCCTCTCTCTTTCTCTTTGTCTGCCTGTCTCTTTCTTTCACAGCAGACTGGCGAGGGACAGGGGATCCACTGATATTCAACACTTATAAAAATAGAGTTACTCCAAACAAGGATGGAGGCATGGTGGCAGTTTTCTCAAGCTTTCAGTTTTACTTATCTGCTCCTCATGATAGATTTAATGTAAAGTGAAAATGTGAGAAAGTTGCCACCATGCCTTTGTCCTTTTCTGGGGAAAGAAATATGGGTAAGATCCCACTATGCCGTTTTTTTCCACAATACAGCCAGAGCAGTCAATAACATCTAGAAGAGCAAGCTGAGGACTGTTAAATCAGAATAAAGGGCTCAAAACATTTAGAAATGAGAAGAATCATCATTTCAAAAGACTGGAACATTTTGTCACTGGCACCCGAAAGCCTCAGAAAGTCATCTGCTTTACCTTTTGTAACCTTGTAATGAGGTGATGAAGTTCAGAACCTCTTTGTAATTATGAGGGCCCTTTCATTAGTTGGGGGATACTGTGGAGGGGGCAAAATCCATAGATGAGAGGCTCTGTTGATTAACCAGCTTCCCCTATGTACTGCGCCCCCCACAACCGTAATTAGAGCCCTGGTTAAGAGCTGTTCATTTAGAGGGGCTGTTGAGCTCCCAGCAGCCATTATTAGCCCACCTCTTCCTGGCTTTCCCTATTCTAATCTGTCCACATGGACAAATACCGACACAGGTGCACACACTTCCTATTAGACACCAGTAACGTGTTCACATCAAAAGGTCTGTGTCTGGTTTACAACCGGAGAATCACTGGAAAGGTCTGGACACCCTCACAGAGTCAGTTTTTGAAGTCTAGGGTTTTATCCACCCCTGAACTTTATGTTGTGGCCAGTATAAAGAGAGGAGGCAACAGACAGAAACCATCTGCTGATGATTAGACCTGACTGTGTTGAGGTACTCTGTAAAGTCTCTCACCACAAGCAGTCACAGCAACATTTTCCTATGTATCTCCACCAGTGTTTGGTGCGATTTAAATAAGGGCAATTATTCAAATAAAAACCTAAAAGGCATCAGACAGCTCTTAATGGGTCATAAATATCTGTATAGCATCCCTATCTGTCTACCTTAAACAAACAAACCAGCTGATGACTCTAAAAGTGCACGCTATGTGCAGATAGTGCAGCGTGGCCACCAAGCAGTAATGAAGAAATGTGATTACTTACAAAGAAAAGAAGGTTGAAGAGGAAGAGAAAGTACTTGGTGACTGTGATGCATCCTTTCCCCATGGCTTCACTTCTGGAAGATAGAAGTAAACAAAATTCACTGGTTAAATTAAATACCAAGTGGAAATATTCCACTATAGCCTGGGCGACTAACATAAAAACAGAAGGCAGACACAAGGTGAAGAAAAAAACACAATAACAAAAGAGAGAGAGCCAGCTTTGAGATAGCCTTGCTTTGAGAAGGACACAAGGAAAATCAACACAGTTGGGTTCTTGATTGAACACAGCTTTAATCTTCAAAGAAACATTAGCCTAATTCATTTTTTATTTCTCCAGTCTCAAACAGCCCAACCTTCTCTAATCACCACTTTTATAAGGCAACAGCTGGCCTGCTGTCAGAGGATAAAGCTTTATGACAATATTGTGCGCTTTTGAAAACAAATTTGTTAACGGGTCCTGTTTTATCCTTGACAAACAAGAGGAAACACCCTGGTGAGACAAACTGGCAGAAAGACCACCACAAAGCACTGAGTGGTGAAGTAATGGCGACTGAACGGAGACCATGACAGTGGCTAGCCGTCCTATTGTCATCTCAAGAAGAGGGAAACTAGATCAACTGTGTTTACTAGCCACAACAAACTTGGGGAGAAACTGTGTTTTACAGTTTTATTCATTTCAATCCAAATATGCATGAAAACATATCGGGGCATTATTCACTAGTTGATGTCGTGTGAGCACATAACAGATAATAACAACGTGGTCAGGCCAGCCCCACCTTATGAATCAAACCTCAATGCAAGCTGTCTGACATTTTAAGTTAGGGAAAGCTACAGTAATGTCTGAATTGTTTAATTCAAACTCACCTATATTTATATATTTGCGTTTCCTACACATACTGCATGACTGCATTCAGTGGAATCTCTGCTTTCCTCTATGAAACACCTGCAGACCAGGCCAGCACCCCACATACAGAAGGGCAACATGATTTAACCAAAGAAAATATCTACCACAACCAGAGCCCTTCCTTCTCAGGGAGAACTGAAAATGTAACCAGCCATTGTGGTTATTTGAGAAGTTTAAAAATATCCGCCAGCTGCTGTAGATGCTCAAACTGTAGGTTCTTACCATCAGCTTAGTGTGCAGTATTTCTGAAACATAAAGTTCACCTTTAGTCTCAATCGTTTAAAAACAGTCCCTAACTATTTTTTATGCTTTTGGATTAGATTGAAAACAAGCACATGAAGATGTTGTATTACCTGTTAAATTATGTTTGCGCTGCCTTGAAAACACACTAAAATCACTTGAAAATGTTGACTTTACTGACATCTTTGTGTTCATCTTTTATCATCTTGCTCAGCGGCATGTCTGTCGTGTGCATGTCTACAAGCAATGTGAAGCACCAAAATCGCAGTTGTCATCTTTTTTTTTGTATCTGTACATCATAAGAACAGGAAATATTGCATAACTGAACATAAAACAAAAAAAGAACACCCAACACCTACAAATGCTGCCATACTGTTTACTTGCCAGTTTTCTTAACTATGTTACCATTAATGTATTATTATAACATCCTGTTACAATAACCAATAATAACCAAATGCAAATATGACCAAATCTAAATTCATATATCTTTCTGGTCCAATATGCTAGGCTGGGTTAAGCTCTGAGTGAAAGATGCAGTCTGTAGTCTAATTAGGCCGATCAAAAGATGGTTAACATTACTATTAACCACCTATACCGGGATTTTAAATGTTCTCGATAACCTAAACACTAACACAATTTTGTGTTTACAAAACTGAACACAATGCAAAGCCCAACCCACACAGCAGATACCCATGCAAAGTAAATAATCCTTAAAGGAGATGAATGGCTTTTATATCTAGATGGTGAGCAGCAGTGTGGATTAAAAAAGCTTAGTTATGACTACCATTGTTTGGTGAATGAACCCCGTCCATGTAAAAACAGTTCCTGACAATGCCTCAGCTGTACTTAATACATTTTTCAAACAATACATTTAATAGTCAGCCCGGCCCAATTTGTTCTAAGCCAACTAAGTATATTGAGGTTGGCAGCAAAGCTGAGCCAGACCATAAATATACTAAAATGTTTTACTGCATACTTCCATACAAGCTCAAACACTGATCAGATAAACTGTGGGACCATTTTAAAGCTTTGTTTTTTCACAGTCTACCAAGGCAAAACCCTGTCACAGACCTGTTCCTAAGTGGAAAAAAATACTGGAAAGTGCAATGGAAATTCAAAGTAGAGTAAAACAGACAGGCCCAAGAACAATGCCAAAATCCCACATAACAGCTACAGCAGTATCCATAATTCTGATGAAATTAAAAGACAACCGAAGGACAAAAAGGTGAGACATGACGTGCCCTGAGAACACTATAGATCAGGGGTGCCCACACTTTTTCGCCTTGCGAGCTACTTTTCAAACGACCAAGTCAAAATGATTGACGTGCGGGCGCACACACGCGCGCGCACACACACACACACACACACACACACACACACACACAAAATATATGTATGAATGAGTGTCGTAGTTTTTATGAACAGTCTGAAAGTGCCGCTCCACATTTCCCTTCTTCGGAGTGATGGTAGATTGGTAGATCAAGCAAACACATTTCAAATATAACGTTGCAGAAAAAAAGTCCTCCTCCCATTCTGCATGGAATGTTTTCGGTTTCTTACTTGATTCTGCTCACCCCCTCTTTTTTATAATCTTTAGTAGAAATATTTCGAAGGCTGACAAGGTAGTTCGCTCACTGGAGTTTTGCAGTAGCTTGTGCGGTTGACTGTGCATGTTTGGTGACTCGTGTGTCAGAAAAGACAAGATCTCAGACTGGCTGCCCTGCATGTCAGTCAAGTAGCAAATGACATAGGGAGGATGGGTGGTAGGCTATATATGAATGATTGTCACTTTCTGCTTTTCCTGTTATGGGTCACCACAGCGAATCGTCACACTGACTATACGCATGTTCACATTTGGCACGTGTTTCACGCCGGATACATCTAATTTATTTTTGAATGGCACGGGATCTACCGACACTACCTTTGCGATTGACGTATTGGACACCCCTGCTATAGATGAATCACCAAAACTTTCCAAACCTATGACCTCCCACAACCATTTCTCCACTTCGTAGCTCCCATTTCCTTCCTTGTGGTTTGGCAAAGGTGTAATCGCCATCACGCTGTCTGTGGGTTGCACTGAACGAGGTGCTGCTGTACAAAGAGCCAGCTCAGAGGTGTGGGGTACACACACCTCTGTGTGTAATAGACCCAGGGTGGCTCAGCCAACCTCTATATAGCACCTCCTCTTAACACATTCATATATGATCCATTTACACATCTGTCAGGCAAACATGGCATGGACCTGCCTAAATTAAAATTAAATCACTTAATACCAGCGTTAACATCTATAATGCTGTGAATTATCCCTCTTACAGGCGGGATCTAGGCTCAGGGTATATAATGGTGTTTTGCTGAATACACTGAATAGAAGAGCCTTTTTGTTCAAGTAAAAGGAAAACTTTACCATACATACAGTATATTTTTAGAAACAGCTATTTGTGTACAGTAAATTCAGCTTTGTGAAAGGTAAGCACTAATGTTCATTTATATTATTGGATTGTTTACATCTATAAAGATTAGCATTTATTCTGGTCATGCAAAATCTGTATCCAATGCAATGTGACATCACTTCGAGTAAATTCTGTGGAATGGAAGGGATTTCCCAGTTAGCATCTCTGAGCATCTCCCACTGCATGACATAAACTGGTGAAACCCCCTAGTGGAACTCTGTGACAGGTAAGCATCTGTGGCAACAAAACAAAACACAGCACAACTGGTTTTGATTTATCACTACTAGATATTAGAAATAATCTTTTTCATCATTTGGTCTGTATCCCAAAAAATAAGCAACCAGAGGTAAATGGAATTAACTTGCTTTCTTAGCTTGGCAACTTATGATGTATAAGAGAATAAAGAAAGCATCTGGCTTTCAGCAACATGGTATATCTTTTTAGCTGATTTAATTCTTAGAAAACCACTGTGTTTCCATCACAACCAGCATCAAAAGTGACACAAACAGAGAACAGTTTGGGACGCCATTGGAGGCTGCAATGCCACTGACGATATGGGACTTCATTTACCTGTAATCTCTTACACAGCCACAAACTCACCAACAGCTACTGGACTAAACAACATCTAGTCATACTTTCTTCAGCCAAACCTAAATTAAACTTAAGCCCATTGTAAAATGTATAGGCCAAGAGTTGAAATTAAGTGAGACTTGAGAACAGAGTTGACTAGTTCCGCTAAGTGTGCATTTGCAGATATGAATTTTTGCTTGTACACCACATTATTGCTTAAAACCTAGCACCTAATCTTGCATAAGCACTGTGGTAAGTGGATACTGCCTGGAAATTGTGTGGTTTTACCACAGTAATACCTGTGCACTGCTCACCATGGTAACATTTGCTATCCTATCAAAATAAGTTTCTCTGACAGTGTTCTTGTAAAGTAACAGTGTACTGTAAGTGTTAGGGAACTTTGGATGTAAATAAACAGGGCTGTTGCTAAGACTGCAACAGTGGAGCTGCACTATCATTTTGATTTCACACCTCAACGAAAATAGGGGTTTTTGGTTCTCATTTTCATGCTTTTTTTGTTTTGCATACAATACAAAAATATATCAAAGCCAATGGCACCATCACTGTAGAAGAAAAAGGGAGGTTAAAATAGTTAAATTGAAGTGGAGACCCTGAATCCTATGATGACAACAGTTCTCCTAACAATTTACATTGACATTTCACTAGTTCTCCATATGCTGGATCCATGGGGATGACAAATCAAGAGATTGATTAAAGACCAAAAGCAAACACAACATATTTAAACTGTTACACGGGCATTAAAGACTTGGTTTACAATACTTTAATAGTCTGGTGCCCATCTGAACACTGACAGGAGTTTTGCTTGCTATAATAATTCCTTCTACTCATGGTGTCCAATAAGAGATCTGCTGCAAATGCACTGAAAATGTAAGAGATGGGGCAAAATCCACAGTCCTCATTTTGTCCTAAATGAACTGTAAAGTTGATCTGATCTTTTATTATCAAATTGCCCCTTTGCACTTCCCTGATCAGCTGCAGTTAAGGTAATGTAACAAAATTAGGACATTTTATATTTAAAAAAGGTTGTGACTTTGGAAGATATCCACTAATTTGGACAGAGCTTCATAAAAGGTCCACATACACTTTGGGTTACGGTACATTTTGTGCCCCTCACTTAGGCCCCAGGTTATTTCTCAGGGAAGGGACTTTCTAATGACTAGGGTGAACAGAATAATTACAGTAAGCGAAACATCTTCCAATTTTCACTTTGACACATCGCTGTTGGTGTAATATAGACTTGAAAATTGTTAACATGTCCTTTAAGAGCTAGCAAATAACTGCACACAGTCGCAAAACATTACGACGTAACTTACGCACTGCAGTAACTTTACAAACTCCTTTTAAAAGTCTAGCTAAATGATTATTTCTTGACAGTGTTAATTGCAACGCTTTCACTAAGGTGAGCGTACCATTTTATATTGCGCTGGTCTCAACACTTCATGGTAACATTAGCTACTTTTCAATGTTAGTTGGGTGAATCTTTTCAAAGACCCCTGACCGACAGAGTACATGTACGTTAGCTTTAGCTGTTAACTGTAAATTAACGTCTGTTCACCCGACACGGCTTTTAGCTAACATTACTGCCGTTATGAGTTACATATTGGTTTTTCTCAATTAGTTTATTTTTCTTCAAGTTTTCTAAACGCAGAGGAGTTTGCGGCTTACTTACAATAACAAGTTTACACATTTTGACGTAACACTAGCTAGTTAGAAACACGTAATAAATATGACCGACACTTACAGTAGCGTTATTGCGACTTATCCAGAGATGCTAACGGCTGCTTAAAGAGCCCACTGTCTTCTGTCCTCTTTGGCTGCCGTGTGAGTCAACTCTGCTGCTGAGAAACAATACGTGTGTGTCTGAGAAGACGTCCACACGCCCACCGTGCGCCAGCTGCGGTTAGCTGCTCTTAGCTGCTCCTTTAACTCCCTCTTGCCCTGTTTAGTGGAAGAGGCTGCACCGCCCAGAGGTGGTGATGGAAAGTAACCTTCCTCAAATCTTTGGTTATACTGACGCTGAGCATTTTCCTTTCACGCCTCTTCACAGTTCTACATTTCAGAAGGAAATATTGTGCTTTTCCCCCCCACTACTTTTGACACCGTTATTTAATAATTTACAAACTATTTTTAGACAAAAAAAAAGCCTATGATGGTTGGTAATAAACTAAGTTGAAATTACTTAATCAATAGTAAACTTAAATAAAATGTACTGACAACAATTTTGATAATTGTAAAGACAGCAAACATTTCATGGATCCAAGTTCTGAAATGTGAGGAGCTGCTACTTTTCCTTATTTTAATTTATTTGTAATAATTTTTTTGGTTGACTGAAACAAGCGTTGTGAAGGCGTCACTTTGGACTGTTTCTCACTATCTTCTGAATTTTTGCAAACACAATTATGTGATAGTGAGATACTGCTTATATATTAAAGGCAGACAATAATCATATAATCATATAATACCCTCAACTGCCAGGTACACTTGTACAATTGTATGTAATTCACTGCAGCACTTCCGCCTTAACATCTGTGTTTATGAAGCTCAAAATGTTTCAGTTTATAGTGAAATTGTCATAAATGTATAAATTCAATTATATGTTTATTATTGAGGCCATAGTTAAGGAGAATGAACACACATGGGAGCTTTTACCTCTAAACTTTAACCAAAGACACACATTTGCGACACAATCCCCCTTTTTACCCTTTGCCCAAGAGGAAAGATGATTGCATACTGGAATAGGATGGGAAAAGTTAAACTGGGATATGCAGTAAGCTACAGATTCATTCACTTAAATCCACAGGAAAGATCAAATGATCATGTTATGACATGTTCAACACTTTCCAAACAGAAAACACTAAACAAAGATAGATTACATAACTCTTTAGTTTCTTTGTTGAGACATGTTTAATGATGCGTTTTGTTGAACTTAATCAAGGCTCTCCACTTTCAAGGTTAAAGCAGGTAGGTACAAGGTATTCTGTTAAATGTCGGCTATGAAATAAATGAGTGTATACATGCGCCTAAAACGAAAGTCTCACCTTTGCTGCTGGGAATCAACACTATAAGTGAAGTTAAACTGGATGTTGTTCTAATCACTTATCTTTAAAATAATGCCTGAGGCGACTATATGATCATTCCAGTTGACATTAGAGGTCTAGTGTAGCTGCATATAAAGTGCTGCTGCCTAATAGTTTCCAGCAGATTTCACCACATCCTGCCATTATTTTTGCATGATTTGAAGTTGTGAGCACCAGCACTGATAGCAGCAAAGGTGTATTACTAAGGCTGATGTGACTAGTCAACTGACAGAAAATTATTCAGCAACTGTTTTGAGAATTGATTAATTATCAAATTTCAAGCAAAACTGCCAAATCATCTCTGGGTCAAATGTGACGATTTACTGCTTGTCATATGTGGCAATAAACAAGGTATGTTTAGGTTTTGGACTGTCGGTCACACAAAGCATAAATTTTAAGGTATCACAGGAAATTGTGATTATTAGAAGTAGTGATTTTTGTACAATTTCCTGGCATTTTAGCAATCACAGAATGAGGAAAATAATCTGCCGGTTTCCTGATAATGAAAATAATACTTGGAGCCCTGTATATGTCAGAAAGGACAGCAAGGAACAAAGTCGACTGCATCACTTTGGAACTCTTCAAAATAAACAGTGTTCTTTATTTCAAACTAAACAGTGGGAATCCATAACAGTTTATTTTTGAGGTACAATATAACACATATATACATAAAAACACAATGCTACAACCTGAAACAGTTTGACCTATTATGCTATTCACAACAGTATAACTTTTTGGATCTGCATGAGTGAGAACAGCTCAACTTGCCATTCCTCTAAAATTTCAAGGACTCAACTTACCAATGTAATATTTTGACTAATCTTACATCAGAAAACCAGGAAGATGAAAGAGCCATTTCGTTGTAACCCTTCTTCTGCCTGTACCTCTAAAACTACCCATCACTACCAAAATAACCTGCTTTATAGACCTTTGAACATGTCACAAGACTGATGATTTGTGGCCTGTAGTATCAACCTAAATTGAATGACTTTTTTTTTTTTAAACTCCATAATTATCATGCCAGTCAGCACAGAAGAGTAGGCTGGGGCACACGCTGTCATTCAGGAGAGCTGCATCTAATTAAACACTGGGAGAATTATAATGACTACTTTTCAGGGAGCACGGCTGAACCTCACCCATGTTTCGCATTCCCTATCTAAGTAGTAACAAGCACATCTGCCATCAGTGCTGGACTTGCAACTGCAAACCCACAATCAGTGCAACCTCAGGACCACTCCCTTGGAGGGCAGGACTCAACATGGTCATTTACAACAATATGGACCACCTTGTGTTCCTTGGTAGACTCAAAATGGTTTTTCCAAGTTAAATTTACACTATGACTCAACTATCTGCAGAGGTCAGAGTTCACAAACTAGCAATACTGGTACAGCCCTAAACTCAAGCTGGGATGTCATGTACCTCAAAGCAGCCATGTACTGGGAGGTAGAAAATGTACTGAATCAATTGGGTGAAAACTCAAATGTTTTAAAGCACACAGTTTAATCGCCTAATACATAAACTTGTCCTTTTCAGGTTTTATGCCATTTTTGGCTAATGCATCTATTCACTGCCGGTAACATCTTTATTTTTCAGCTTTGTATTCTAGTTAGTGGCAGTTTGCTACACAATTCAAGCTATGGTGGATTATATTGCATGCATGATGTCAAAACACAAAAGTCACTTAAACTGATACAAAATACGACGTCAAGAGAAAGATCAGCCTTTGAAAATCATTTAACTAATACTGAACAAATTCCTTGTTTGTTTCACAAGAACGCCACATAATAGTAAATGATTTCTTTTACATATATACAAGGAGTAGGATGCAGTGTTAATGACAGTTTTTAAGTAGTTTTAAGGCAAGACTAAGGATGTGGTATATGTAAAAAAAATTGTGCTACATCACTAAAGAGGAACCAGCTCAGGTTTGTTTACCCTGCACACCGGACATGCTCAGCTTGTTACACCATGTCTATACAAAGTCACTCATTACACTGCCTCTTTTTACATGGTAGTTCATGTGAACCTATCAACATTAGGTGGATTAATCTCAGGCGAGAACATGTTCTGTACAAAACAACAGCAATTCACTTTGGTAAAACTTTGTGACTTATGTCTCAAGGAATTAAAAAAAAAATCCCCACTTTATCCCTGAAGCATTCTTCGATTCAGTGTTTCTTTTTGGATACTTCAAATCTGAATGAATCATGGGTAAAGACTGAAAGTAAAAATCAGCTAACTGACACTTATCCAGTGTTTAGCTTATCTGACTGCACCTGAATCTTAAAGTTGGTATTTCTATTAGGTGTTCACTGAAGAGCTGTCAGTGACTTATGTAAGAGCACAGATATTCAGGCTTCACTTTACATACAGTGTGAGTTGGCATCAACAGCATCAAACAGCACAGACTCTTGGTCCTTGAGTGTGATAGAAACAATGTCAAGATGCAACATTTTATCAAACAGATAACACTAAATACTGAATCTGGAAGTCATGTAGCCGTACATAAGCAACTTACTCCATTCTGTACTGTACATGTTAAATTATAAATCCTGGTGATACATGAACACAATACACTGCTACCTGCTAGCTCCTTCTTCATAATAACAGCACTCAGAACTGCACAACGAAGGAATGTGTGTCAAGAGGAGTGTAACCTCACAGCCCAATGAAAGAGTAATTTACTTTCACTATGAGGCTTCTTGTTCTCGTTTGTAGAGGTTGGAATGTGCGACTGTGCTCCTCTGTTCAGTACTGGGGGTTAAATTAGTTATGTCCCGAGGAAGGGGGCAGGGAGCATCCATTGGCCAAGTAATGCCCCAAGCCTCAACTATATATTCATCCAAACTTTCTGACCCCACATATGTGATCTGTGCTCAGCTGTTCCCTCCCTCGAAGTATCAAGCAAGGATCTTAGATCTTCTTTAGTTTACGGCCCAGCTGGTAGTAGTAAGCCATGGTGACCACCAGGAAAAGCACTCGACTGAGGAGCAGGAGCATGGCAGCGTTGGGCAGGATGCCAATCTCCATTAAGGTGATGGATGTCACTGAAACCAAAGGAACAAAAGGCTTTTATAAGGCACACCACACATGATTTCCCTACCTTTATTAACCTATGAAGATCAGGTCTTAAATAACAGGGTCACATTTATTCAAGTTGGTCTTAAAACAATATGCATATTATGTACACTGTCTTTAGTTGTGCAACAGCTACATTTATACAAGATGAGTATAAAACAGTCTTGATTTCATGATGTGTATGATTGTATACGGTGTATTGTAAGGCATGTCAGACTGTGCAGTAAATGTGAGTGAACTGTAGCTCTATGATGTAAATATAAAAAGTACATGAGGTCACAGATATGTCACTAGCCTGTCTCATACATCTTGCTGTTCCTTCTCACCAGAGTCACACAGATGGTTCTTTATTTCCATGTCCATGGTTTTAACTTGTGTGTCCATGGATGTACTAACAAGGTGTTGTTAGATTGCATTAGTCTTAGCGTGATGTACCTAATAAACTGCCAACTGGCCATGCAGCTATGTGAGTATTATTTAAAGACAGATTTGAAAAAGTACTAACTTATCCATAAACTAAATGTAAGGCTGTGGCTCCACACACCCAACACAAGAGGGCAGTATCAATACATACATAACACATTGGCAAACTCAATTCTGACTAACTGCTTTTCTCAACACAGTAGCTAACAAAGAGAGGTACAAGAGGTGGTCTCCGAAGCTGTGATTAGAGACAAAAAAGTGCAATCACCTAGGAACTGCACAGCAAAATAGCAGCCTTCACTGAGCAGAGTCCACTGAATGATGATCTTCTCAGCTGTGTAGAGACCATTCCACAAGATGAGGGACAGGCCTAGAAAAAGGATGCAACAAAAAAGAATTTATAGGCCTAGGGCCATGGGAATGAGGACAGAAAAAAAAAAAAAAAAGAGAACTCGTACACACTGAACACCAACAAAACTATCAAGCACTATTCACTTGCAGCTGTACTCCAACTATAACCTATGACGCCATGTACACACAGTGATAATTAGCCTATTATTCAGCTTAATGCTCTGACTTATTGATTCTGATAATAGCCTCTGCTCAAACATTTCAATCCCCACAATTCTTCCAGCTGATTCTCCCATACTTCACTCCACCCCCACACACCCCCTCCACATTAAGGCTATGCAAATGAGCAGCGGTCGGCAGAAATGTGGGAGGGCTGATGGACTGTAGTCTCATCTTTCAGCACCTTTACCACTTTTATAAGACTTTATCTTTGCTAGCCCCCACAGCCCTTCTGACATTTAAAATAAAGAAGCCAGACTTATGAGGCTGAAAGCTGGTTGTTCACTTATTCTTTCATTTAGGGCTTTATCTCTCCTGAGGCAATGCAGTAATCATACAGAGGTCCATGCTTGACTTGTTCACATTTTATATAAGATTTAACAAGAAGCATAAACATGCTGGAGTACATTATGTGGTTTCTTATTACTGCTATAAATGTCTTGTGAGGGAGGAGAACATTAGGTGGATGAAACATTTTGTGCTCCTATGTTTATATAAGATCTAAGTGCTGACATTCTGACATAAGTTATGGTCTGATTTAGCTGAAATTGACAACATGGCAGACTTTACTGAGTAAGGCGTTGCTCTCACCCTTTGTTCTTTCCTTCACTTTCTCTGCTTACTTTCCCATCAAGGAGTGACCTGTGTGCTACCTGCCTCCGTGTCAGTCACACTGTGCCTCTTCACAGAGCCATTCTAATCACTGACTGACTCACAGACATGTCAGGCAGCTTTGTCTCAAACTAAGGCCATTAATATAATTGCTTGCATCTCCAATACACTTTCTCGGTACCAGGGGAGCAAAGTACAAATACCATAATTATCTGAAATATTTATGACGATCAATTGTCTCCTGTGGATAGCATTAAGAGCAAAAAGCTTAATTTAATGTGTAAAGAGAGCTGTAAAATACGTTTCCTCTACTCAAATTTCAGGCCAACTCTCCACCCAATCCCAACCCCACCCCCAATACATACACCGTCCTGCCACCCTCTGATATACGAGGCCACAGAAACTGAAGTGACTGGGGCCACTGCTGTGAGATTTCTGGAGAATTGGTCTCTCTGTCCCTACCACGCCCGCACAGTGAACTGTAGACACTGAAATGAATCAAGAACTGAATCAAACTGCTTTCTGTTGGAGGCTAAAGGAACGATTTTACAGCAAGATAGCTTCTTGTACATTGTCTGAATGCTTAAGTGTAAATTCTAATGAATGCATTAGATGGCATTATAACACAAGAGACCACATGCAGTAGAGCAGTGTGTATTTTTAGCATATATATATATATATATATATATATAAAAAACATTGTGTGTCAGCATCAGTGGACTCCTTCATGCATAGCTGCCGTAAATTCACTGGATGAGGAAGCATGAATAGATTTATCCTGTTATTATGTGTTTGTCGTTCCTTCATCTTCAGAGTAAAAACTTACTAAGCAGTGCTCCTCCGTATAGGCGAATGGAGATGCTAGTCGTGGAAAGTTCCTCCTCAAAAACAACCTCATATAGCTGGTTAGGAAACACAAGGGCCTGTGTAAGAAAACAACATAGCTCTGTCATGTCAACACAACAGCACTGTGTCTTCCCCAGACACCCTCACAATGGCCCCACAATGCAGCAGAATTTCTGTTTGAGAGTTAGAATCACTTTGCACTGAGAGTATTCAAGTAGTATGGCTGATGAGATGTCTCTCACTGATGGCTTTGCCTACAGTAACATGATTATTCTTTATTTTAAAGAGTGATTTTACTCCCTACTTAACAGCACATTTTATTGACTGAGATTATTAAAGCTGAATTAAAACTTTATTAGCCATTAATGTAAAACTATGCAGATAATTTAAACAGCACTTACCATCAGGGCCATAACTGTGAAACCCACTGCTGAGACGAGTATCCACACCCTAAGAACAGAGACATTTCTTGACATACTGTATTCTTCCTTCAACTGATATTGATTGTACATTTGTTTTCTCAGCATTTACAAGATGTTGATCTTTAATTGAAGTGGTACATACTGCAGCTCAAATCTCACCTAAGCCCAATGGGCTCTCGCACTGCAAACTTCATCTCATTTCCAAGCATCTGACTGATCTGTGAGTGAACAAGACAAGACAAAAAGAAAGAGGAAATTAGCTATAGAAGGGAAATGTAACAGGTATCTGTTATGGCAGCCTTTAGCAAAGCACCATATAAAGAACAAAGTGCCCTCCAGTATTTCATATTGCCAACACATTAGTAGTAAGCTACTGCAAAGTAGTACATTAAATAAAGAAGTGGAGAGAAAAGAAAAGAGCGGCTGAGAAGGACTCATTAAGATATTAATTAGAGACAATATATGTCTTCACCTTCTTAATTAACCCCTGAAAATTAAAAGGATATGTCATAACATCTTGCAGCCAGTTCTGGATGAATAACCAACCATAAGTCTCTGCCAGAAGATAAACCTTATTTGCTACAAATTAACTTAATCCTAGCAACACGAGTATCACGTCATACTCAATTTATTATGCTGAAGGTCTGAGGCAGTTAGTGGGAGAACATTTTGACATACTGAAAGCTGGAAAAGTGTCACGCTGGTTCTTAGTTCCCAAATCTTTATTCCAGTTGAAGAAAAAAAAAAATACCAGTTAATATTTCATAAAATGCCTTAAAGAATGATTGTTATCACACATAGCAATATTGCAAAGAGACAGCCAAGTGTGGTCCTAGTAATACCGTATCTGTTAGGATAAGCATCTCTTATTAAGAAAGCTAGATGATGGAATGGTAATACTTGGCAACTTAATATCCAACTCTGCTCCATGAGGTGTAATATATTCATACGAACCTCTCCCAAAATACATGTTTAAAGTAAACTAAAGCAGACTAGTATAGTTAAGTGTTGAAACTGAAAATGTATCGTACCAAACATTTGCTGCTTCCAGCTTCAAAAAAGTATGGATTTTATACCATTGCCAACTTCAATATCTTTGTGATTCAGACTGTTGTTCAGAAAAAAACATGCAGTTTGAAGACACTACCTTGGGAAATTATGATGTCATTTTTTAGACCACAGTTAAATGATTAATTGAAACAATACTTACTGGATACGGAAATGAACCGTGTGTACTGTGTAAGTTTTTAATTTGACATTTAGCCAGTTCAAGTACAGTGAATAACTTTAAACTGCTAAAGTTAAAAAGTCACTAAGTCAATTTTAAGCATAATTTGGCAAAAATAAATAAATAAATAAAAACCAATTACTGTCCAGACTTTTCAGATGAAAAGCGAAAGCAAAGCAGCCTAAACATGCAACACATTTGATTTGATTTCGACTGGAGAAAGAATGCCACAAGTTGTTTGGCTGTTGGATTGGTAGTGTACATGTCACCAGTATAGGATGCAAATGAAGAAGAGCTCCATATAAAAACCTTAAACTCTGTGAGCAAAAGCACCAGGTTGTATGAGCATGTCAGAAGAACTCTAGGTCCTTTACACACTCTGACCTGGCTCCATAACCCAGTCTACTGTATGTGCATCTGTATATGCAGATCTACATACAGACATAGAAAGAGAGAGCACTCATCCTTTTTGCATGTTATTGGAGGACAAAAAGTTTATAAATGTTACTGAAAAAATTTAATTCAGACTTCAAATAGATAAGGCCAGGGGGTACTGTACACAAACTGTCTGGGAGAAACCACACAGAGGGCTTGTAGGAACGAACAAAAACAGTTTTCTGCCTGAACAAATAGTAACCCACAGAGAAATTAAATTTGTTGGCTGGCTGAAAGGTTGAATTCCTTCATCCAAAGCATTCAGGTCATATTATTCCCTAGTTGTCTCTTCATCATTTAACATCCTTCCCTCAAAAAACAGTTTTTCCTCTTGCAGTCAGACATAACATCAGTGTAACTAAAAATAAATTGGAGCATAAAATCCACTAAGACAGAGAAGATGAATCACTTTCTGGCTACAGGGAACTTAATACCAGCTGGAAAGTAGTTTTCTGTTTGATTAGCCTGTGAAATGTCATAGTGAATGAAACAAAATGATTCATGCAATATATGAGAAAGAATGAGAGAAGCGCTGCTGAGGGATGTGCCTTAGACCACTTTGCACCATTTAAATATTACCAAGTACATGACCTGCAAAAACTTCACAGACAACTGTACTGCATTCCATCCAGTTGCTCTGTCAGATCAATGGGAAGAGAGATACTGTATCTTCATGCATTTAGGAAAGGTTAGGGTCTAAAATATTACTGTTATGACTGTCAGTGAGACATTATCACAAGCAAGATACAAATTAAAAACTAAGAATTAGGTGTTAAAGCACAGTAGGTGTTTTACAAATTAGAGGGGTTTACTCTGATCTAATGCATAGCAGTGAAACAAGGTTCATAGCATTGAACATCGGTTTCATAATTTTACATGTGATTCTGAATACATCTGCCATGATGTATACAGAAATACCCTTATTAATGGTGTGGCCGTAATTTCACCTGTATTGTTGCTGCTCTCAGAGCATTTTAAGGATTACATGCATCACTCCACTGCAGTAAAATATACAATGTTTACACATTTAAACAAAACACACGCAGCATTGTTTCATGCACACATACACAAAAGGAGTGATGCCAACGGACTGCAAAGCTGCTTCTGAAGTAGCTTTGAGGATCTAACATTTCATGACACAGAAAAAATGGAAAGATATGGAAAAATATGGAAAGATGTAGGCTTTGTTTACAATCACTCCCTCATTCACTACTGCCTTTATAAAGTACACTTAATAGTTCACTGAGCTTTCAGACACTTACTCATTATCATTTTGTGTTATCGCCAACAGCCAGAGCCACTCACTGGGAATTTTGCCACTAATAAATTGTGAAGCACTGCATTGTGGGTTTGTTAGCAGAGTGCTCTGTAGCTGACACATTTACGCAGTCAGCATTCGGACACCACTACAAAATGGCAAAAACACTACATGGTGAGCAATTTCAGACACCGCCTTAATTTCTCTGGGGTGAACTGGAAGAAAAATGAATCTTTGTGTTCTGATATTTTCAAAATCTTAAACATTTCCTTTTTCGCCCATGGCTGCTGCTGCTGCTAGCTTTGATGTCAGAGTAGAACCCTGAAGAAAAGTCTCCTTTGAGACTAAATTCCCAAAGATGTTAAGATAGAGTAACACACTAGGCCCATTACATCCCTCCCTGCACTGTGGATGAAGTGCCTGTACATGAATTTGTCTGTGCCAGCGGTGATCACATGATCAGGTGAATCAGCGTTCCTGCCATGGTTTCAGGGGCTGTTTTTGACAGGAACACATAAATATTCATGACCGGCATGAAAAATACTCAAAGGAAACTGAGCACCAAATGACGGCACAGGGCTGGCTTGGCGTGAAACAGAGCGGAAGGGAGCTGGGGAGAAGTGAAGAAATAGGAAAAGAAATACACAATACTGTTTGTGGAGAGAAACGCTTAATCAGAGCCACTGTACCATGGCCTGGCTTTGTCATCAGTCACTTAGTCAGCTACATCCAGTAAACAATGGGCTGCTTTTAAGCCAGGAAGCATAAAAAAATATTCAAGAGTAGTAAAATCTATTACCCACCAACATAAAATTTGTTATCTGGGCATGTATGCTTCTCATCTGATGCAGTTATTAGTTTGCATTGCAGTTGCATTAAATAGATATTTCATATGTTTCAGTAGTAATTCCCTGAGAATCAAAATATACACAAAACATTGTGGTATGTCTCATTTATGAAGGCCTGGCCTCATGCTGAAAGAGTTTGGTTATAGTTACTGACTGTAGTATTGTTAGCACTGCACCAGTGAGTTAAAGAAGTTGTCCATAACACAACAGGCAACAATGGCAATATAATACAACACAGTTGCCCACATATATGGTAGCACAAACCAAAAGCCTCACTGAAGTATGAAAAACCGGGACCATTGTCCTATCTCTATGCAGTACAAGAAGCAGGAAGAGACAGTCAGCTAAATAGAGGACCACTTCCCTCCTTTGTTTAGGGTGACCATAGGGATAAAGTAAACTGTTTTCCCTCCAAGCAGGCACTTGCTATGTAGCTACAGTAGCCTTACATTTTTGAGCATAACCTCAAGAAGCTTTGTCAGATCAAATAAGCTTTATCAGAATGGATGCTGAGTGTTTCGCTGCCTTTTTCAGTATACTCTATGTATCTGTCTGAACCAGAATGTTCTGTGAAAGGGACCCGAGTGCCAGATGTCTGGGTTAGGCTAAAAAAAAAAGGAGAGAGAAAACAAACAGGACTAAGAAGAGGGGGCCGACATAGCATCACCACCTACCTATCAGCCACTGTATGCCTGCTTCCGTCTGTTGGCTTCTTTTCTCCCACTTGCTTGATTAATATTTCAGTGAGGAACAGTCTGCTCTGCCTGTGCTCATTCTAATGCAATCTGACAAAAAATCCACTGGAATCTTGATAATTGAGCCCTCTGAAACAAAATTAATTATCACGCAGCTCGATGTGCATGAATATCACAAATGTTTTTTGTGTCTAATAGCATTGACCCGTGTGCTCAAATACCTATGAGGCAAGAATATAATAAATGACAGGCAGAGAGTCTTCCAGGGGGGTCAGTCACATCAGGAGCTGCAGGACCTCATGGGATTATGTGATCTAGATTCGCTGAAGCATAAAGAGCAAATGCACACAATAGGATACTATGAGAGCGATGGGCAAATTAGAAGCCCACTGTGGCTTTTAAAAGGAATTCATAGCTCTTTATGAGGTCAGTGTGCTTCTATCGCTGACAAAGCGCTGATATTATCCATCTGACAGATAATGATTTAACACACACTTACAATTTTAACCAATCTGTTTGCTGCACTAATGCAATAGTTATTTGCTTTTGTCGTCTGGATTTCCTCCCACATTAAATAAAAAGTGACCGGAATATGGAATATTTTCATGTAAGGTAATCTGACCTTTGAGCGGTGCACTTCGCCATCATCATCCTCACCGCCGACTCCCAGAACCTTTCGGCTCTTCAGACGGCTTATCAAGTCTGTCTGACTGTGTTTCTTCATCAGAGGAGGGTGAGGTTTCGACGCCATGGTGCACACACCTGACAAAGAATTAAAAGAGAGGTAGACAGTTGAAAAAGTGGAAAGGCAATCACTGTGTGCATAGTGGTATTGTTAGAAGGGATCAATTAAATAGGCAAAGTGTGAGGATAAAGAAGATGGAGACGCCTCTACAGCACAGGCTGGACTTGTGACTTATGCAACACAATGACATGGATCTAGCAAACACCAGCAACCCATAAAACCTTCCTCTTTAGTCAGAGTGGAAGCAAGAGCCAGATGCCCTGGAGGCCTCCTACGAGGCCAGCAGGCACAGGTGCCTTCTCAAACAGCCAATGTATCTGACAGCAACACAGGCTATTGCTTTATATAAGCATATACTTCTCTCTCTCTCTCTCTCTCTCTCACACACACACACACACATAAATGGTTCTGGGCGTTCTGAAGACCAAGGGTCTCGCAGTCCACTGACAATGTGACTCGGTAAGAAGGTGGGACTAAGAAGTAACCTGAGGACCACTGTTGTGGGGCAGATACCGGATCAGCGCTAGTTTAATCCTGAAAGTCACCTTGGCTTTTCTAAATGTTATATATTTGCACAAATTAGATCATTCACAAACAATAAGCAACATGTGGAAATGTGTTTAAAAATAAAAATGCTTCTTTCAATCAAACTGCATTACTGAATGCATGCTCAGGGACCACCTGCAATGCCTTTGCAGACCATCAGGGGGCCGCGGACCACTGGTTGAAAACCCAGACAGTAACAGAACCTTGGTTACACACATGAATCCTCACTGGCCCTTTATTCCAACAACGATTCCATCATTTATTTTCTTTTAATGTTTGACACAGTGCTTTGCTTTAAGCTGTCAGCATGACTTAGTTTTATGCCTGCCGTTGTGATTAAAATAGAAAACACTGTAAGTCAGCAAGCCAGCTTTGTTCGTTTTTCCAAGTAATAAAAAACACATTTCATAACTGAGAAACTGGGGGGGGACTGGGCAACAGTCAAATCAAGAGAGATTATCATTATCAACTCAGTAATGTAACCTCCACTGCGGTTCAACTGAAGGCAAAAGGTATACACAAACGTGTATACACACACACAATGAAATGGGCTGTCTAAAACCTGATGGCTATTTCATAGGGCAATTCTCTCGAGCAGTAAAACAAGAGCAATTATTGAACTACTCTCCCAAGTATGGGAGAGGAAGCTATAACAGAGAGCTTTGTCCCCAGTAAAGACAAAAAAAAGTCGGCGTTACCAGGGAACAGCACAAAGTGCCAAATCATCACAGTAAGAGGCACAAATGAGAACATATTAACAAATACAGTTTGTTTTCTTACAGAGCCCAAATTGCACAGCTAAGCTGCATAAGAGTACAACAGGCTGCAAAAAAAGTATATTTAGTAAACTGTATTTTAAGGAGGAGTTGATTCAACAATATTTTACTTTATGAGGCTGTAGCCTTACTTGGACAAGTTTTTATTTTAAGATCTAATACTTTGTTCTATCACCCACTTGATGCCACCCCATGTGTTTGAGAGGGACAGACAGGTGGGAACGACACGGTCTGTTCATGTGAGCGCTCCCCTGTCTCAGAATTACACAGTCAGGCCTTAGAGCACTCCCTTATATTGACATGCAGACTGTACGCAGACCTGCAGAGGTCAAGGAAAGTTTCACTCTATGTATTCAAACATCTGTTGTCAAGATATCCCGCTTGGAAAAAAAGCTCGCGCCTCCCCCTATTCAGCGGAAAGAGGAGCCATAGAAGGAGAAAAGAAACACTGAACTTTGATACTCAGTCACACCTAATTCTCACAGCCGGGACAAGGAATCTGCTTGATGATGATACTGTGTGGTGTGCATAACCATCAACCATGACAGGCTGCAAGTTGTTTTGCAAAGTAAAAACTGGCACCAAGTTTTGCTTCACATTATCATTTTTAAAAAGACAAGCACTTCACTACAGAATATTAAAGATTTTTTTTCACTAAAAATAATTCAAGTTTCTTTCTTCCTCTTCACTAATTGTGAAGTTTAATACAAATATTTGTGGATGAATAGCCCAGACTCAGACTCACAGAGTGCGTTCCCACTAAGTTAGTGAGGGTCAGGGCTGTCCCACTGTGAAATTGTCAAGTCGGCATTTCTGCTGACTTTACCTGAGGTCAGATCATAGCGCTGCGACATAAAACACAGGGCTCCAAGCTCAGAAGTGTAATAAAGGTCAACAAATGCCATAAAAAAGAAAATAAGAGAATAACTAAACTAAATCAGTTTCAGGTGATGCCAATTAAGTCTTTGAGGGGGACTTTGAAGATTCAGTCAATGAATCAATTGGTATGCTCTCAAAATGAGAAAATTAGCCATGTGCCTCAGGATTAATTAGGTTATTAGATGAAAGAGAATGTCAACTAGACTAAATTACAAAAAAGAAAACTTATTTTATGCAGAAAAGTGACCAAATGTATTTTACAACCACTCCATTCTAAGAAACATACACAGAAGAATCATCGTTCCCTGCCTTGACCACCACATCACTTGGTTTATCTGAGGCACAGAGAAAACACCCACTGCGTTACTGTACATCACTATTAATAGTGCTAAATCACCAGCATCAGCCACTCACGGCAATGTGGCCCCAAGAATGCTGATCTGCTCCACTGTTATGACTCCATCAATATGTGATAAAACAATAAATAAGATACACCTCACTAAAATCATACATTGCTTCCAAAATACCCTTGCATCTCCCTCCCTTTGACTCTCCCCACCAGTGTTCCTTGACTTACCACAGTAATGCTGATGCAGTTGCCTAGCAACTGCCAATGGACCAATCGCTTCTTCATTTTTAAAAGCACCTTTCATGATAATCATGTCTCTGCTGTGAGCCACTGGTACTCAGCGGTCATCCTTCTTGCTGTCACAGCTGACATTTTAGGATACATGAAGAGACTCTGAACTGTATTTAGTTAACAGTATTGGAGACATAATTTTCTAATGACTAGCCATTTCTCACACAGTAAGACTTTAAAAGGTGCTAACTTGCTGCTTAAAGCGGGTAAGCTACCTTCTTGTCAACTACAACCACTATAACTAATGTTGCATGCTATTCATGTATCCCACTCCTCCCACATGGCACCGCAAAGCAGATCTGAAGGTGAGAACAAGGTTTAAGTCTTGTAAAACAACAAATTATTGAGTGAGCTAGAAAGGATGAATGGAAAAAAAGGCTGAAGAGCAGAAAAAAAGAGCAATCCATATTTAGACACCTGGGATTTAAATTTCAACAATCACAGATGATGTATCGAGATGCTGTCCAGATACAGCAGGAGGTTTGTTGTTGCATAGTAGCAGTGTCATAAAACCCTCTTGAAGAAATCTGTACTGTACATGCAAACATGAGTAGGTGTGTTCTCCCGGCCCGGTGCTCCCCTAAAGTAAGTAGCTTTGTTTAAGATGAACCTTTGGGGCATTAAATACAATTATCTTGGAACATAATTTAAGTTAAATGTGTGGGCATCCTTTTTTATTATCAACAATAATGATGATCATTGTTCCATTTCCAACTATATTGATGATCAAAAAACTGTTTTAGTCACTTGTCATGCATCAATGTCAAACATTCTCTGATTTCAGCTTCTTTAGAGTGAGAATTCGCTGCTTTACTGTTTTAGGCCTAGATCACTGTAAGCTGAATATCTTTGCATTTGCAAAACAAGGCAACCCACAGACCTAGCTGTCAGAACATAGTGAAAAAGTGCATTAGAATATCTGATATTTAATAGACAGAGTAATTAATCAAGAATATAATCACAAGATTTACCGATAACAGAAATAATACTTTAGACTAGATTCATAATTTATTTTAATGATAAAAAACTGTGAAACTTTGCAAGCATCCAGAAATAGGCCTACCTCCTAAACACTACTATTTTCAGCAAAATAAGAAACAATCTAAACATTCAGTATTGATAAATATGCTGCAATAGGAAAATTTTCTAGAATTAATCTGCAATATGCTATCTCTACTTGGGTATTTGCATTTTAACAGTATAATATGTGAAAGAAGATATGGTAACTTAAAAAAAACAGACTAATGTAGCTAGAGCACACTCACTCATCAAATATCAGCAACAGTGTGATTAATTCCCTGTTTACCAGACTCTCATGTATATCAACAAACAAGTCTACGTACAGCAAAGAGGCATATTCACCAAAAGTGTTGCATGTGGGATCATAATGCACATAAAAAAGCTGCAAGCATTTGAGAAATGAAGCAGGTATACCAGTGATGTATGCTGGAAAGCCTACTGTTGATGCAGTCTGAAGAGATTGGATTCATTAAACCTTTTGTGATTGTGCATGTCTTTGCAAAATATCAATGCGTTTACCACCCTGTGGGACAAACAAACACAGAGAATAACATATAAATTAATTAGTGTGCATGTGGAATAGGTCAGGTTAGTCCACCTGCTGTGAAGAATGAACCAAAAGCTTAAAGTTCAGTACCAGAAATAGCATCAGCAATAAACAAGCCTCTCTGTGTCTTCCACGGGCTTTGTGACAGAACATGTGCTTTGGAAATGAAAAGCTGCTGGGAGGAAGGGAAAGGTGAGAGAAACTCCTTGAGAGATCTCTGGTTAGTGACTTGAAAGATGTTCTGTAAAAAAAATTAATAATTGTATCATATGAACAAAGCAGTGTGTGGGTGTGGAGGAGCAACTGTGAACAAATGTGTTACTCAAAATAAGAAAGCAGACTCTGCAGCCTGCTCATCTCCCCCTCTTTTCTGCAACTAACAGGAGACAATGTGTCCAATAGTCTCTAGATCTCATCACGTTTCGTAAATCTAACCACGCCATATAGTGTCAAGAGTAGATAACGCACAAAACAACACCTCTACTCAACAGACTCCAAAACAAGTGTGAACAGTTATTCCTCAATGAAATGTCTGTCTCTTATGCCTACGCAGAATAATTTACTGACTTCAGTAAAACTATGAATTCTCACGGTTATTGATAATGGTAT